AACTGCCACTTAGGTCGGCTCGCCAAGGCCAAGAGCAAAGCACCAAGACTGCGACGTAGCATGTAGGTGAGAATCACGCTAGTTTCGGCTAGAAGGTGGATCACATGAGTAATCGTGAGAAATTTGACCTGACTACACTCATTTTCGAACATAGCGCAAGTTTGTACGAGCTGAGCAAGAAAATTAGGTGGGTAGGCAATATGAGCATCATAAGACTGTCCGGCAAGGCCATAAGAAGTTTCATTGGGGCTGGAATTGAGTGAATAATCCTCATAGAGAGCCGATCTACCTAGAGCGAAGCGGACCAAAGGCCCAAGCAAGCCGCCGAGTCCAGAAAGGAGTTCTTTGGCGGACTTTGGTGGCATGTCAACACCGGGATGGCCCAAGGGCCCAAATGTACTACAAGCCGATTCACTTCGGGACTTAGGAAGACATTGGCCATGGAGATGCAGATTCCACAGTGTAATAAGGTGATTGTATAGACAGGAAAGCACACGTTCTTTGATGGAGTGATCATTACTATCAACACCTATCATCGCCTCTTCAGACCAGATATTAGAGTCGGAAAGCTCACTGAACATCAATCCAGACACTAGGGTCCAGGTTAATTGATCCAGCTGCGAACAGTAAGGTTGATCAGATAATTTTGAGCGAGAGCCTCGAAGCAGGCCATCGATTCCGGATAAAACTGAGCGATGGTAAACTCTGGGATCGAGATTGTCAAAGGAGTGTAGGATAAACTTTCGCAGCAGATCGCGTTCTATTGGCCCAACGTCAGATAGCCAGACACCACGCCAGTGACGAGTAAGGCTTGCTAATAGAGAGATAAAAGTTAGGTGATTAAAGACTTTATAAAATGAATAAAAAACTTACTAAGGGCATTTAGTATAGGAGAAAAGCTGACGGCTCCCGAATGTACACAGACTCAAAAGATTAAACACGGCAGTAAATTCATATGAAATTTCAAATTCAATAATTTTTATAAAAATTAAGTTGGTTATCGGAATAAACTTCATTAAATACTTGATTGCATTTTATTAATTGCTTTTGAACTAATTAAAAGCATGGATTGATTAAAATATTAATTCCATGAAGATAATTTACTAAGATAATGATCAATTATTAGCATATAATAAGTAAAAGTGAGGTGAGGGAGGATGGATGGATGATAGCGACGAATTATGCGGACAAAAATAGAAACATATGTAAAAAATTAACTTTAAATATGGA